GGGGGAGAAGGAGAGTGGTGCACGGGGCCACAAAGCGGGGGCTGGGGTCAGAGTGCCGAGCAGCATACCACCGCTAAGGGCATTGCCCCATGGATGGACCTGAATAACTTAAATATTTAATTAAAAATGCACCACTTCTTTGCATGCCTGTCACCAATTGTGATCACAGATGAAGTGGTAAGACCCTTCGGAGGAAGGCTGCATCTCACTGCGTGCTTTACTGTGCAACTGCATCTTGCTACGCAGCCGCAACCAGCCCGCAGGACAGCTGATGCCCAGCCTTTAAAGCACTTTAGAAAACATTTTACTAATGTTCTGATATAGGCCCTACTCATGAGCGGCAGAGATGAAGCAGGCTGGCTCAAAGCTTGTTCCTCAGTCCAGTGATCTGCTTTCCAAATCACAGAAAAGATGCTGGCCCCAGAACAAGCCTGAACAGGGAGCGTTTGCCTACTTCTCGGCCTCCTTCACCTTACCTTTGTTGCATATTTAGGCCGTTACTGGAAAGCAGGGGGAGGGGGACAGGAAGACGAGTTGCTTTTTGATCTTCAGCTGTTGCCACCCTAACGCTTCTCCAACTTTGAAGTTCTTCTCTGCTGCAAACACAGCTCTTGTAACCTGGCTGCCTCTGTCTTTGAGAACGCCAAGATTTTTTTTTTAATAACACCATTCAGGCCATTAACAGGCCATGAAAATGCTCGAAGCTACACCTTTGTTTGAACCACCTAAGGTTTTAGGGGATTTGCTGAGCTTTATAATCTTGAAGGAGCTGCCATGCTCTTACTTACAATGTGGCATGCTATACAAAGCTTTGTCAGTGTTATCTCCCTCATTGTTTTGTGGAGTCTTTTTTTTTTTTTTTAAACCTCTCACTTTGAAATTGCTCTGTTTTGCAGTGATGTTTTCCTTCAAAGACCTACGTGAACCAACTGCCTCCCCCTCCTGAGCACCCAGGCTCCTCTGTAAGCAGATTGCACAGAGGAAAGATGTTTTCTTACGCCCCCTCAAGTGCCATTGTTAGAGGATGGGAAACGATCCACAAGTACTCTCCCTCTCCCAGGCTTTAGTTCAGCTGCTTAGTGGCTATAAACAACAATTCACCAAACTAGATGTTAGGTTTCATCATTCTTTGTGTCCTCCGAGTAGGACAGGGTAAGGAACCGTTTCCCTACTCCATGCCCAGTGACTGGAGGAAGGAACGACGGACAAGCAGCCTCCCTTTTCTTGCTCCATGGTAGAGATCAGGTCTATATTTCTCCCAGAGGAGCCCCAGCAGCCACAGCTTTGCCCACACGCTGCCTCCAGATTGCAGCTCTTGTCCCAGCTTACATGCTTGTTGAAAATTTTTTTGCTGATACATTCTTTTGTAGAGAAACTGCTCTCATTAAAAAGCTCCCCTTTAAAAAGCCTCAGACAAGGCCTTTATTTTGATCCTTTAGAAGTTCTGTTTCCAGCGACAATTAAGCGAAAGAAAATCTCACTTATCTATATGAACAACCAAAAGCAACGTTACAGACAAAACCAACTCTGTGTACTACTTTCTAATGCAACTTTATAGGAAATATAAACAAGCCAAACAAATACTTTACATGCACAGTAAGATTTTTTACATTCACACTGTCAATTTACAAATAATTACCTCAAGCAAATGGTTAAAAATATCATACAAAGACATGAGTACAATTTCCATCTTATCCCTTACTTTCCATACTAAAATGTAGAAACTCTCCTTAGCATAATAAAAAAATATATACTGTCAATTTTCTCTCTGTATTTCAAATATTAACGAAAATATTTGAAATGCATCATTCCGGTTTGCATGAAATGGCGGCAAATATATAATGGACATTAGCCTCTTTTTTCTGGAAGAACTGAAAAAAGAGCAACTCTACATCAAAAAACGGTAATCAACTGTTCTTAAGAACATACTATCTGTAGAAAAAAACATGGTTTTCCCGTTTCCCCTCAAAGCATGTGTCTGAAGATTTGTTTTAGAGATATCTAAAAGCAAATAGAAAGCCTTCTTCCTGTTCAAGCTTTTTTCTTAAAAGAGAATAAAGGATTTAAAATTCTTTAAAGTGCTGAAAACTAATTCATGCACAAAAAGTAAGCAGCAGTTTCCAAATCCACAGAACACAAAGCAAAGGAAAAAATATCTATTTCTGAGTCTTGTAGGAAGCAACTAGGATTCTTTTTGTTAAAAACAAGAAAAAAAGAAAGAAAAATCTAAAACCAAAGATAAATTCCTAATAATAAAAGGTGGCACAAAAGCTGTATTTACCTCAGTCTTCAATATGAAACAAGAAAAGCAGGCATGCCTATCTTTGCTTTTTCCATTATTTCACAGTCTGTATACCTGCAGTTGTTGATCTGTGTCCACTTTCAACCAGATCCATTTTGCATCTTAAATATGCAGACTAGGAGTTTTTAAGGCAATCAATCATCACTCTCTTCACTGGAGTAAAAAATCTCACTGAGCTGGAAAACCTTTTTCTGTTGGCTGGCTGTTGAACTGTCAGAACCAAGGTGTTTCTTTTTCCTTTTTTGCAACTTTTCTTCAAGTTCTGGAAGTTTCTTGTCATAAAGATAATTAATAATTTCTTTGAAAAAAGAAAAAAGTAGTCTTAATTGGATCTTGGCCTTCTCAGGAATAAACAGTATTTCTCACTACAATTTAAGTTACAATCATTTTGACCTTCCCCCCCCCTTCCTGTTTTGATGAAACACACATGTAAATTCACTTCTTAATCCATGCCAAGGCAACTTGTCAAAAATAGATATTCATGATGCAACTTTTCACAAATGGAGAAACCGCTACAAGAGGAGAGGAACTGAATAAACTCAGTATGGGGCAGTTATCAAGTTAGAAATAGAAGTTCGGAGTCTTGATTCCGCATCTCGTGCTCTAGCCTTGCATATTTTACCTGTATCTAATATTAACAGCAATGTATGCTTTCTTATTTAACACTGTAAAACGATTAGATGAGGGACACAATAAAATAGCAAAGAACTAGGGATCCCAAGTCCTTCTACCAACAGTCCAGGATTCGCAAGGTAAGATTATGCAGCCTTTACACATCTCCTGCATATCTGAATAGGTATAATAATATTTTAGAAGTAGTTTTGTTAGACCCAAAGTGTTTTATAACTTTTGATACAAAAGTGCAATATAAGTTTATAGTACTGTGTCACAAAATGCATCAGTAACATGCATTTCATGATTAGAATTCAATTTTTTATATCAGTCTTTTATGTTAAAAGGTTAATAAAAAAGTCAGTACAAATTATCATATTCACCTATTCTAACATGCTTAAATGATCAAGGTTCATACTTATTGCCAGCACCATTAAAATGCTGCCTTCTGGATATTCTAGTTTCAATTATAGAAACATCTAGCTGCTAGGAGTTGCAGGGCTGCTCTTTAAAAGCAAAAAAAGTGCAAATAATGCGGTCCTATCTGCCTGGATTTGCAGAAAGAAATGCAATTGCTTAGAGGTGAGACCTGGCTATTAATGTAAACAGGGGCTGATTCAATGCCAAGCCGTAATGTTTTGTTAGTGCTGTTAAAGATTCCATTGCTCTTCAAGCACTTCAGAAGAAAGAAGTATGAGAAGAGTTTTAAATAAAAAAGGAGGGGGGGGAATGTCTTTTTGGTACATAAGTAAGGGGATTAATTCCCTCCCCTGCCCCCCACACACACAGAATTTCTCCCTAGATTACCATATCGGCTGGAGGGTATGATCAGACATACGTACATACAAAGATAAACTAAAGAGCACAGTAGCAAAGCTTTCAAAGCCAAGGTACGAACGGGAGGCGGTTGCTAAGCACTGCATGAAGAGTCTACTGAAAATGTTCTCTTTTCCCCCCTCCCCCCCCAAAAAAGCACAACAACAGAGGATTTAGTGAAATAAGTATAAAGTTTGTGAATCTAGCCAATTTACTTAGAGGAAAGCTAACAGTAGCATTTTTAGGAGTGGTATATTTACCCTCTTAAGATTCAAACAAAAATCTTGTTTTAAGGAATACATCAGAATATCTGGGATACTGACCAGGAAAAGTCTTTTTTTGCCAAAATGGGACACAGGAGACCTTTAGCTTGTAAAATTTGGCTTGAACGTAGGCTCTAGGGACATCTCTGAAAAGAGAAGAGTTAAAAGAATTAGTAGTACAATAAACTGTTACAAAGTCTCCTTATTACTAAGTTATCCATTCAGGAGAATGACTCCAGGCAAACAACGTTAGTTTTAGCTAGAAAGGACAAATTTGAAATCCTAATAAAGAGTTTGCCAAGACAGCAATTCCCCTTAAAAGTAAGCACCTAAAAATTAAGATGACATCATGCATATTTATTCCATGTTTAACAATAAGAAGCAGTAAATGAAATATACTGTGGAAA